GGAGGAGGGAGGAGGAGGGAGGAGGGAGGAGGAGGAAGAGGGAGCCCTGACTAAGAGCAGCCACTTAACCACTGGGGCTCCAGTGTCTCGTTTTATAGTAAGAGGGTGGAGGGAGATTATGTAAACGGTCTCATCCAGAGTCAGAATATGAGATCCGCTAGAGACAAGGGGAGTTCTGAGGGTGGACCCCTCTGGATCCATGCTCTGTACCGGCCTGTGCATCCGCCTCTGTCTCTAACTCAACCTTTGGGCCGTGGGAGCAAGATTAACATCAGCTCCACGGCTGATATTCTGTAATTCCCTCCTAGCACCTTCGGAGATGCTATTTCAAGACCCAAAAACAGAAAACAAAAATCAAGACGTATTCTTGAGGTGATAGATATTATCCTATTTTCCAACTATTTTCTTAGAAGGAAGAGAGCAAAACACAGAACAGAATGACAGATGGAGTATAAATTGGCATCTTACACTTAAAAGATTCGGGGATATGATACAGTTTTTGTACTGGACATTATCTTGCTCCTCCTGTGCCCTGGTATCCAGTCTGACTCAATGCCTCACAAGTTACTTTTCCTTGGAAAAGCTTCTGGAACTTTCCTGCCTCAGTTTCCCCATCTATAAAATGGGGGTGATAATGGCCCTCCCTCACTGGGCTGCCACTCACAAGGTGCTCGGTTGTCCTAAGTGCTCTATACTTATTAACCCATCTATTCCTCACAGCACACAGGAGACATGTTATGAGAGTAAATGAAATCATATGTGGAAAGCACTTAGCAGGCGGCCCAGCAGAGCGCAAATGCACAGGAAATGCCAGCTAGTCTTACGTTCACTGCCCCTCCCCCCCGAAAGTCAACCCAGCATGCTAATGAGGAAGGATCTTTAAAGAGAATGAGGTTTTTTTCTTATAGAAACCCTTTTACCAATACCGTGTTCAGATTCCGCAGAATACCCACTGATCTTTCAAGTTTAAAAGGCAGGCACAGTGTGTCTGCAGTGCTGAAAAATATTCTCTGTCTTTCTCTTTGAACACAACAACATCACAGCCGACTTCCCAGGACATCGGACCTCATGCGT